TCAAACTGAAGATTGTAACTCATTAGTGGGGCATGAAACTGATCTAGTGGTTTGAGATCATCATTTATTTAAGTGAAACAGAGTAACCCAGTAACTCATAGAGTGGGGGAAAATATTTGCATTGTATGTACTCAACATAAGAGTCATATCCAAAATATAGATAGTGTTGTTGTAAGGTCCCATTGAGTCAGTTCCAACTCACAGCAACCCTGTGTACAACAAAATGAAACATTGCCCAGTCCAACACCCTCATCACAGTCATGCTATGTTTGAGCCCATCTTTGCAGACACCATGTCAATCCATCTCGTTGAGGGTCTTCTCCATTTTTCACTGGCACCCTCTACTTTACCAAGCATGATATCCTGCTCCAGCAATTGGTCCCTTCTGACAACATGACCAAGGTACCAGAGACAAAGTCCAGCCATTCTCACTTCCAAGGATCATTCTGGCTGTACTTCCTCCAACACAGATTTGTTCATTCTTCTAGCAGCCCACAGTGGCTACTACGATGGGCTCAGGTATAGTAGGGATCATGGAGCTGGCACAGGACCAGGCAGTGTTTCGTTCTACTGTACATGGGGTTGCTATGAGTCAGAGATGACTCAACAGCACCTAACAACAACAAGCTTCCATTGGTGTTGATTGTGGGTCCAAGTAAAATGAAATCTTTGACAACTTTGAGTTTTTATCCATTTATCATGATGTTTCTTATTGATCTAGTTATGAGGAGTTTTGTTTTTTTATGTTGAGTGTAATCCATGCTGAAAACTGTAGTCTTTGATCTTCCTCAGTAAGTGCTTCAAGTCATCTTCACTTTCGGCAAACAAAGTCACATCATCTGCATATTGCAGGTTGTTTATGAGTCTTCCTCCAGTCTTGATGTTGCATTCTTCATATAGCCCAACTTCTTCGATTATTTGCTCAACATACAGATTGAATAAGTATGGTGAAAAGATACAACCCTGCTGCACACCCTTCCTGATTTTAAACTATGCAATATTCCCTTGTTCTGTTTGAATGACAGCCTCTTGGTCTATGTACAAGTTCCTCTTAGCACAATTAAGTGTTCTGGAATTCCCATTCTTCACAATGTTATTATAATAAATAAGAAAAGATCAACCTAATAGATTAATGCTCAAAAGACTTCTTCACAAAAGAGGATATCCAAA